GAGAAAGTGCTCCTTGGAACTGTTTGATGAGTCACTGTGTGATCACAGGTTGTCACTTGCATATTACAAAAGGACCAGAGAACTTTTAGGATTGAGGAAGAGTGTGATAATGATCCCCTGAATTGCCAGTGTTACGATTTCCATCTCCTAAAAAGAGAGTTTTGTCCCAGCTAAAATGTGCATTTTGTATACGTGCAATAACAATTCATATCACATAAATAGTTTGATAAGTTTAATCATACATCAAGGATAACAACTAAGTTAGCATCATTGGCTTCAGAAGAAACAGGATCTGTCTCGAGAAAGCAAACAGCTGTCTTTCAGAAACTGGTTTAAGCATGGGAATGTGGAAAAGAAGTTGATTTGACAGATTGTAAGTAAATCAGTTATAGTGTGATATTTATATCTATTTAATTGTCATTGATAATCTTTTTTTCCTGGACAAAGAATTGACATTCTTTCATAATTTTTACAACAATTTGATTGTGATTTTCTATTTATTTCTTACGGTATGTTACCTCATACTTTATGCAGGCATATTGTCAAGTGATGATGATGATAATGATGAAGATGACATGTTAGATGCAGCAGTTAAAGTTCCTCCATTACAGATACAACAGGAAATTGAAGTTGATATTGAAAATCAATATGATGAGAACTCTTCAGATAGTTTACAGCATGCATTGAATAAAACTCCATCTTCTCCCTCACTTTCACAACTCCCTGGGTCACCTCTCCCACTTACACAGCTCTCAAATCTCCCCTCAAATCCAGCCACACTTTCACAACCACTTTCTCATGATAGTACACATAGTGTCCTCAAGTTAAAAAGGTGATTAGCTAATAATATATAATACACAAATGATTATAACATAAATTACAGCCATTACTATGCCACCTATTATGAGAAAGCGTGGCCGTCCCAAAGGCCATGAAATAACTATTATTGGAATGCCAAGGATGAAAAGTAACAGTTCATGTCCTAAAGTTTTACCCTTCCTGAAATTACACACATCTGTAAAAGAGAAAGGTATTGATGATACAAATGAATCTTACTGGCATTAATGATTCATAATTTTTAGTCATGTTGTAATGGTTTGTTGACAAAAAAATTGCTAAAGCTGCTCTGGAAACCCAGGACAGTGAACTATTGAATAAGTGAATGTAGAAGTTCGTCCTGAAAACTTACAAGATGGTGTAGTAGACGAAAATGTTGATGTTCGTCTTATTAGCAAGCATTTTACCAATGATGCCTGGCTTTTGCTAATAGATGTCGTTCGTCAAAAGAAAGAGAATACTGTATTTATCTGCAAATGCTATTTTCATGATTTACATAATGAACCATACATTGTTTCTGATCATTGTTTATTGAGGTATCACATGAGGTGTGTTGGATTGAAGCGAGGACCGAAATCAAAGCATTGGTTTTGCCGCAATTGCCATGGTAATCATTGACCACAAAGTCCATTATCACTTATTATTATTATTATTATTGCTATCAAGAGTACATTGTTATTATGGATGAAAAATAATTACTAAGGGTGGGGCACTAACAGTGTTACTCACGGGTGTTTAATTGGAGTAATAACGTTCAAAAAGTCAATGTTATGATGTCATTAGAAATTTCATAATATCCCTAGCAACGTCTTAGCAACTAGAGATGCATCTTTTAAAAGTCAAGTGACTTAAAGGGGAAACCCCAATAGGCCACATGAATAAGCTAATCATAAAGATAAGAACTTTGGCTACTAAAAGATACCTGATAGGAGCGTGACGCATGTACTGTTGGGAACTTATGGAGCGCCAAAGTCTCCTACGTGAACTTCAGTGTTCTAGCCAAAACAAGTAATCTGAAGTTTTGTCAGATTCTATTCCTGTTGGATGGGAAAGATCAAGGACGCTCCTCAATGGCAAGAATAGCATCGTGGTGTTAACATTTTTTGTCGTGGAGTTATAAAGGCTTAAACTCAGATGCTTAGTGTACGACAATAATAATTTAGAGCTACATACACATATGACAATATATAATTCACACAGCACTATTCATTTAGTCCCTTGGTTTTGTGGGTCTTTTTTTGAGCGGTGGTGGTTCAAGTGACTTGTTTGCTGGCAATAGCTTGAAGTGATGGTTTTGCAGCAGTACACTTAGCCTCTCTATTCTGTCTACTATATTATTGTAGGCCCTTTCCACATTATTGAACATGGCATGTAGGGACTCTGCTCCTTGTTCACCCATGCATCCACACCCTACTTTCCATCTCTTAACCCAAGGAACCAAGTGGTCCTCTAGCATATGCATCTTTGGGAGAACAGTTGCTGTAAATGACTCCCTGTAGAATCGCAGAAAGGCGTCTATTGCTGTCTCTGTGGAAATTAAGAATTGTAGGTAAGTAAAAAGTATTTTTCATACCTAATTCATTAATTTTAGCATTTGATAGTAATGTATTGCTGTCATATATTGTATGACATTGTGCAAAAAGATTGAAGGCATCCATAAATTTGTCATTTATTTCATCTGCTTTAGACTGCAGTGCTGAGTTGTTAAGAGATGTTGCTGTTGCTATCACTGAATTGCACATGGTCTTGATGTTTTCTGGCTGTAAGGTAAAGGTTAATTTTTATCTCAAAAAGTAATGATTACCTTTAGAGCCCTGTGAATGTGATTACCAACAAAAGAACCTCCATGGTACACTTGCCTTTCTACGTGAAATGATGCCATGGCTCTTTCAAGCGATTTTACAAAAATGCCATCTTCACGTTCAAATCCCTGTTTGACTATTCTCTTGTTTTGAACTATAGTGTGATTCTAATATTTTTAATGAAATTTTATTAATATTAATTAATTTTCTTACATTAGTTGATATTTTGGTACTATGACTATGTATGAGTCGCGTTACATTCTGTACCCTTATGTCATGTTGTGGGTTAGGACTATTCAGCAACAGTAAAGCTAGGATCTGCTGAGCTTGGTTCAGCTCTGCAGTAAGTACCGACTGCTCTTGTTCAGTTACTGTTATAGTTGATTTGGCTTGTAGATAGTCACGGAAAGACATTCCTGAGTTTGTAGTACAAGGCTCGGTGATACTGAGATCTAGCTGGTGGCATTCCTCTTCAAGAAGGTTAAATAACCTTTGGAAAATTCCAAGTGTAATGTGGAGACCAGGTGGGCAGACCTACATGTACATGTATACTAATGTAGTAATAATATTCTTATACAATTACTTGGCTTAGTGGTATATCAAAAAATACTTTTCCAATGACATTGTCATGCATCTTTGCTTTTTTGAGATTGGAACCATCTGCTTCAAATTCAGAATATTTCTGTGAAAGTGTTGCAAGAGACCGTGGTGTAATAGTTCCTTGCTGCCGAGTTGTTCGGGGGATCTTTAATTCCTCATTAGTGATAGTACACCAAAGGCAGCAGTGACGCCCTGTTCTTAACTCATAAATTGCACTGTAAAACTTTCTTACCACTCGCTCCTGATATTCCATATATATTGCACAGGAATTCATAATCCCCCGACATGAAAACACGAATACTATATTCCCTATGATAATAGTAATTATAATTGTTTCAACTTTTATTATTGTTTATCGTACTTCCATTTAGCCTTCTGGAGACTAGAGACACAAGAGTAATACTGATCTAATGCTAAATGGAGATTGAAAACAGAATCTGGAGCCTCAAAAAGACAGAAAACGCAGCTGTTTTCAACTGAATTTGGCTTAACAGTATTGACAATTTGAAACGATATTTTCACTGATGAACCACCCTTATCTCCTCCAAGCTTCAACCATATTTCATTAGCTGGTATCAAACCATCGTGCCAGGTAAGTTGATTCAGCCTGCATGTATTTTATGAAATCAGCAATGTCATATTTAAAACTAATCTTTGTTTTTCATTTAGAAGATGAAAAATAACATTGTGTAAATCAACTACACATGCCATTGGAGCGAGTCGTATTTCCTGTCCCCTCTTCACATTAAAACTAAATGGAACTGCTTCTGCTCTGATTTTCATATCCTGTAAGTCTCTTTTCATCAATTCTCTCTGCTTCCTTTCGCTAGCAATGTTAATATTCCATGTTTTCATCCATCTATGAATTTACATTATAATGCACACATGGGTATTATTGTTACCTTTTCATTAGCCTTAACTTTCTCGAAGGTAGAGATAAATCTGCTTTCATAGCTAGATTTTCCTCAGGTGGTACATAAATAGTGAAATTGAGCTGCTTCAATATGCTTTCTTTCTCTTCTTCAGGTATCAACTTCAGCTCATCAATTAACTGGGCGTTTGCATCACTAGCACTTAGCATCTCACGGATTGTTGAGATTTCATTACTCCTCCGTCGCTTTGTGACCCTTGAAGAAATTCCAGTACTGACTCCTGTGTTCGTCACTCTTGCTATACTAATTGGCTACATTTATGGTGAATTGAATTGCATGCATGCATTATCTACTTACTCTGCCTCCAGTTGATAAAGTGATAGTGCTACTGTCACTGTCCTTGATCAATTGTGACACTACTCTTATTGCCATTTTATTATTAGATTCGATTTTTTTGCTGGCTGCTTTCTCATGTGAAGAACAATCCTGTGTCAGTAACTCTAAACTCACCATATTGCTACATTTTTCACAAATTACACGGATTTCATTTATCATTTTTTCAATTAGACCAGATGGTTTAGTGAACGTGTCAATACTTGAATCATGCTGGCATGAACAACCTGGGCAGTTGAATGAAGCAGACACAGCAAGCTAAGTTCAACAGCTACTACATATGAGCGTTTTACATGGCAAGAGTTCCAGTGGACCATTCAGTGCACCATTGCAAGAACAACAGGTGACGTTCGCCACACATCTCTTATCTGCAATCTGAGAGAGTGAAATGTGGTGTTGCAGCTGCA